ATAGAGTTCACCATCATGTATGACTATGGAAAGATTTCTCGACCAATCAAATAAAAATTGAATATCCATGACCCCTAATGAGTGGCAAGAATGGACAGTTGTTAAAATCAACAGTTAAAGGTGAAATGGACAAAAAATCATCTTGACGTGAGTAATTATGAGGTTTTTGTTCATTTTGAATTATTTTTTCATTTTAATTTAAAAAGCTGTGTGTATTTTGACAAAAGAACCATATTTGGTTCCATAGTGAGCCATATTTGGCTCTAGAGCCACAGGTGGCAGATCCCTGATATTGAATAAAATGCCTTATAAATTTTACATTCTAAATTATATTTAGGAGAGCAACAAGAAGACTGGAGTTTATAGAAACAGTTATGCTGGTCAAGTTTTGGACAATTGCTCCTGCAGAAGGAGAAAAATAAATCACAGAAATCATTTTCTCCTCTGTCTCTCCCTTGGACAATGCTTCAGCATGCAAGTGAAATCTTCTTTTTGTTTGTTTGTTTGTTCTTAACTAAAACCAAGGAAAGCAAAGCAAATAACCCACCCTAAATAGTAGCTCAAGCTAGAAATCTCACATATGACAAATGAGAGGTTGGGGGTTTTTTTCTAAGAAAGTTAAGTTGATGGGAATTTCTGAGGAGAAAGGAAGCAGTGAGATTCCAGAATGACTAAGGGAAAGGAAGTGACAATTCAGAACCTACTGTGAAATGAAGTATGACAGCACAATTTGGAACTAATAAATCTGCAAAAATGGGTGAGACAAGTTAAGCAAAGGAATGTAATGCTCATGCAAACTGCAGATGCACACAGAAACATGGAATTCAAAGTCACTTAAGGAAACTAATGAGATAATCTAGAGTAGAGGACCTCAAACTTCCAGTTCAAGAACTCTTCTAAGTATGGTTCCAAAATCTCCCTCTCTCTTCAATGACTCACTTAATAATTCTAATTAAAATGCCCCGCACCTCCTTTCTGCTGGAGTCAATCTACTTAGTTCAGCACAGTCTGGGATTTTCCCCAAGAAAAAAAGTCCAAGGATCATCCTCCCTTGAGGAAAAAAAAATTTGCTAAGAGATACTGTTTAGTGCAATTGTATGTATGATGGGGGAGGAGGAAATAATCATATTAAAATTCAGATATAAAAGTTAACTCTTATAGGAATAGTCTGTGCAGCAGCCAGAGAAAAGGATGACATTCACCAGAGGCTCAGAGAGTAGCATGGTCACAAGAATTTACTGTATGCAAGACATTTTACATAAATTATTTTTAAATGTCAACATAGCAGACATCTTCCGAGCCCTCTTATTTATTTTATCTTCCTTCTTGCCATGATATTTCCTCATTCCATTTTTCTTCTGTTGTGTTTCTGTTGTGTTTCCTCTATTATTCCCCCTCTGCTTTCAGTGTGTCATCTCATTTTTCTTTAATCTTCCTCATTATCCTTTCTTTTTCTTCAGTATCATTTGTGCTACAAAAGGGGAGGCTTAATATATGGTCCTAAATGTTGAGAAAGCTATAATGGTAATATTATATATGAACATATTGTAGTAAACTCAATTTTGAGTTCTTTCTGCCTGAGGCTATTTTATATTACACACTCTGAAAACTCTGAGAACCATAACATTACACATTGAAGACTGCAGTAAGAATAGGTCAAGTTTTCATCCCATTACATGCTTATTGTAATCTTTTCTTCAAAGGAATGAATCTGTGTAGTGCCATTTTCCTTTCCCTTTGAAATTTTGATCACTAAAATAAAATATCAACATTTTAAATGTCTCAATCTATGAAAGGTGCTTTATTACTTCAGCTTTTTCAATAGTCCATATTACAATTGCTCTACCCCTCCATTCCACATGCACTTTACAGGCTCACTAATCTGTGGAGAGAATGTGCAGTGAACAGCACAAAACAATGATGAACAAAGATAAAAAATTAAAAGTGGCAAAGCCTACTTTCTTATTTAACATAATTCTTGGAGCTCATTCCTTTCTTGGGAAATGGAACAAGGCCAGGAAAAAAGATTAAATATGATTTAATGGTCTTCTAAATATTATTATAAGAATGAGAAGCAACTCAAACATAGAGCACAGACTTCAGTGAATCTGCTGTCTGTGGACAACATTTCATGTAAGAATTCCACTCTGCTGAATTACTGAACTAAACTGAGGATGTTTGCTTGATATTAACTTTTCTGATAACCTTTTTTGTTACTATGCATAC